AGCTCGACAATAACAAGGCGTAGGGCTGGGATATTGCTCCATGCGACGTAAAACAACAACAATAACAACAACAAACACAACAAAAACATTAATTTTGCAATATTCATATGGGTGTTTTGGTATGACTTGAAACACTGTTGACGTAGGCCTATAAATACAGGTTAAATTCATCAAAATGATACATAAAATATATCTGTGAACTTTCTAAATCTACATTGTGCGTAGTTAGCATCGTAATATTAATTTGGTAATGGGTGCTCAATGAACCCTTTGTGGTGGCAACGTGCAGGGTCACAGTGAAAACAGACTGGTCCCCGGCCTCTATTGAGGTGTCAGCCTGGTTCCCTGAGTATTCTGCGCTGGCGCTACACCGTCTTCACTACTACGAGGCAGCCGCCAAGTGGCCAGGTCGGCAGCAAACCAGTCTTTTCTAAAAATAGCTACAGCCGCTCTCGCTACGGAAAAACTGGTCATAAAATATTACAGTTACACCCCGAAGCCGAGAGGTCGCAGTGGTGCCACTCAAACGTAAGTAAATGCAGCAGATCACAATTCGAAGGTAGAGCCTTCAGTAACATTTACTCTTTGAGTTGTTTCTCATTCGTTCGTAATCGTCGGTATCTATTATGTTACCGTTCGCTTAGCCGAGAGCCGCGATGCAGTCTCCATACCTCCATGCGGTCCAAGATATGAGCCTCTCGACTACCATTCGGTGTCTTCACTATAGGCGCTTCTGTGACCAAAGCAATGCTTCCCCCTACAACGATGTTGTATCAGCCGTGTGTCACTGTTTCGAAGGACGGAAGTAATTACATTGGAGAAATGCAAACGGAGAAATGCACTTCGCTGAGAATGCATTAGTACAGTGGACCCCTTCCGCCATATTCTGTTATTCACAGCTTCCGTCAATTTGTCATTTATATGATTATTTTGAGGGGTGAAACACATGCATTAAACCGGACACCTACCTACCAGATTGAACTTTCTAAATGTACATTGTGCGTAGTTAACATCGTAATATTGATTTAGTGATGAGTGCTCAATGAACCCTTTGTTAGGTCCCTAACATTAAACCTTCAAAAATATTCCTTACAAGGGACTAATGAAAAGTTCCCTGAATAAAATGCATTGACCACTGCGAATACTAGAATAAGGTGTCTGGTATAATGCAATATAGAACAAGTTTTATGGATAACAATTCTTTATTTCGTGAGTGCGACGTTTCGATACAAATTCTTGTACCGTTGTCAAGCAAGAGTGATACATGAAGTGTAGGAGCTGCATATATATACTGTATATAACAATGAAACAACATAATAGACAAAGGAAACAACATAATTGCCATGATTAGCTAAGCAGTAAGCTGATGAAGCCAGTGAGTATACAAAGGATAGTGAATGGAAGCCAGAGATGTAGTTACAATGAGATGTTTATACAATAGATGCGATGTTTATACAATAGATTGGGCTTGGTGGAGGAGTGGATCATAAGCTGATGGAATGAAGTATCCTTGGTCACGGTTGATGGTGGGCTTGTGGCGTTTGATGTGAATGGCTTCTGTGAGCTTGCGTTTAGTGAAGTCCGTTTGGTTGTTGGCGAGAATGGTGATGTCGGACCACTCTATTTGATGATTGGGGTTAGCTTTGATGTGGTCAGAGATAGCTGTAGCTGATTTGGTGTCGGAATTAGCAACATAGGTGCGATGTTCTTTGACTCGGGTGTTGATGGGTCGGGATGTTTCACCTATGTAGCATTGTCCACAATCACAGTTTATTTTGTAAATAACACATTTCGGGTTGTTGTTGTTGACGGTGGGTTGTTTTCTTCCGTTGGCATGGAGGAGGTTGTTAAGGCTGGAGGACGCTGAGAAGGTTGTGGCTATGCCTGCCTGTTGTTTCAGGAGTCGGTTGATTTGGTGTGATGGTTTACCAATGTAGGGAATGGATATCTTGATGGGGGCTGATTCTGGTTTAGATCAACACCCGAGTCAAAGAACATCGCACCTCTGTTGCTAATTCCGACACCAAATCAGCTATCTCTGACCACATCAAAGCTAACCCCAATCATCAAATTATGTTGTTTCCTTTGTCTATTATGTTGTTTCATTATTATATACAGTATATATATGCAGCTCCTAAACTTCATGTATCACTCTTGCTTGACAACGGTACAAGAATCTGTATCAAAACGTCGCACTCACGAAATAAAGAAGTTGTTATCCCTAAAACTTGTTCTATATTGTACGTCTCAACTTCTAAAATGCCACTCAAACATGGTATAATGCAGCTTTACCTGAGGGGTTTAGGGTTACGGTTAGAATACTAATCCAATAAGGTATATAGGTGTTCAGTGTAATGCACGTGTGCCAGCACTTCAACAGCTGGTACACGTGCTGGAACACGTTTAGGATGATATGAGAGATTTTCATAGCACAACGCCTTTCCATATCCAGTAGGAAGCTTAAATATACTGAACTGCAAAAGAAACACAAGTTACTATTTTCAAAACATACGTTCCAAATGCATTCCTTTTAGGACAACAAAGTATACCACTATAGAACAAAGCATTCGAAGATGGTTTTGCCATTGTTGTCGCTTATTCTGACCATATTGCCCAAACGCAATCATGTTCATGTTTTTCGTCTTTTTTTTTGCAAACAGTTGTTGTGTTTCACACAAAAATGTGTGCATTTCACTCCAATTTGAAGCTTTATAAGGCAGGTCATTCAAAAAAACACCTTAGAACACAAAATTTACTCTGACAATGCCGAGAAAACATGCCAGGTCTAACTGAACAGCAACGAGGAATCGCCGTTGGAATGTTGCAGACTGGATCCACACCAACTGCAGTGGCCAGGCACTTCAGATGTCACGTGACAACAATCACAAGACTATCCGCAAGGTATCGTCAAACCGGTAATGTTTGAGACTGACCACGTTCAGGACATCCCAGGGTAACAACGCCAGCGCAAGATCGTCACATCCGGGTTACTCATCTCAGCAACGAGCAACACAGACAGCTGCAACCATTCAAGGGCCACAACGTCACATCTCTGCAGACACTGTTCGTCGTCGTCTGAGGGCAGCAGGGATCAGATGTCGCCATCCTTTACGTCGGACCGATTCTGACGCAACGTCACCGCCAAAATCGTTTACAGTGGGCGCGACAACACCAGCGTTGGCAACGTCAAAAATGGCAACAAGTGTTGTTTTCTGATGAGTCCAGATTCGACTTGTCCCACGCCGATGGCCGATTACGTGTATGGAGACGACGTAATGAACGTTACGCCAACTGTTGTGTTGTGGAAGCTGGCCGCTGGGGAGGTGGGAGTCTCATGGTATGGGGTGGCTTCAGCTACCACCACAGAACACGTTTACACGTGTTTACACGTGTAGTCTACAGAGACCAGGTCCTTCAACATCACGTTGTACCGCTATTCCAGGCCCAACCTCAGCTCCAGACGTTCCAGCAGGACAATGCTCGTCCTCACACTGCACGGGTCTCTATGGACTTCCTCAGAGGGAACAACATTGCTGTACTGCCCTGGCCCTTTCTGTCCCCGGATATGGCACCAATCGAGCATGTGTGGGATGAAATTGGAAGCCAGATTGGTCAGGGAATGTAATCAAATTCCCCAAGCCTTCTTTCAGACACTTGTTGACTCGATGAGACGTCGTTGTGCTGCCTGCTTGCAGCCAATGGAGGTCACACGCGCTACTGATTGACACACTGTTTCGTGACATTTTTTGGTGTGTGAGGGTGGAGTGATAAAATATGCTTTTACAGTAAACTTGAGTGTTGTTTTCACCAGAGATCACGACTCATTTCTTCAACAATCACTTGTCTGTTTTTTTTTTTGTAGTGTTAAGATTGTTTGTTCCACAGATTCAGATATATTGACATTTCTAAATCAACTTTCGTTTCTTTTGCAGTTCAGTATATAAATTGTACACATATTATTTTACACGATCATGGTGACATGAACAGACATTTCATTACAAAGACATGTCGTTGAAAATCACATGTTTAAAACTTGTATTCTCAGGATAGGTTCAGTTGCTGGATCTAAAGAACCCGGAAACCGGTGATCTAATGAAAGAACTCGTTGATGGAACACTGGAAATAGTTTCCAAATGGTTTGGAGAATCATCAAAAACAACAAAGCAGTCTCATACATGTTGTGAAAGCCTGGAAACAATTATAAAATCAGGTTACTAGTAAAGGTCCATGCTCTGTCACAGTGGAATCAAGACTCGGTGTGCTGAATGTCGGAAAACATTCCAACTATCAAATAATCTTCAGACATACATGAAGAAATCAAAGCCTAAGAATGTGTTGAATGTGGAAAAAAATTTACAAGATGAGATACTCTTCAAGTACATATGCAGATTCACGTTGAACGTAAGAAATGATGAACATTCACTCACACATGAGGATTCACAGTGGAATGAAGCCCTATTAATGTGTTGAATGTGGGAAAATATTTACGCAATCAGTTATCATGCAGACACATATGAAGATCCATAGTGGAATCAAACCTCACCAGTGCATTGTGTGTGAGAAAACATTTACACAATCGGATAATCTGCAGAGACACATGAGGATTCACACAGGAATCAAGCCTTATGAATGTGTTGAATGTGGGAAAAGATTTTCACAATCATGTACTCTTAAGGTACATAGGCAGATTCACAGTGGAGCAAAACATTATGCATGTGTTGAATGTGGGAAAAAATTCACACGATCACATAGTCTGCAGATACACATGAAGATTCACAGTGGAATCAAACCTCATCAGTGCATTGTGTGTGAGAAATCATTTACATACTTACGTGACCTGCAGACACACATGCGGATTCACAGTGGAATTAAGCCTTATGAATGTGTTGAATGTGGGAAAGCATTTACACAATCAGGTAATCGGCAGATACATATGAGGATTCACAGAGGAATCAAGTCTTATGAATGTGTTGAATGTGGGAAAAAATTTACACAATCAGGTAATCTGCAGAAACATATGAGGATTCACAGTGGAATCAAGCCTTATGAATGTGTTGAATGTGGAAAACAATTTACACAATCAGGGAGTCTGGAGACACACATGAAGATTCATAGTGGAATCAAACCTCATCAGTGCATTGTGTGTGAGAAATCATTTACATACTTATGTGACCTGCAGAAACACATGAGGATTCACAGTGGAATTAAGCCTTATGAATGTGTTGAATGTGGAAAAAAATTTTCACAATCATATAATCTTAAGGTACATAGGCAGATTCACAGTGGAGGAAAACATTATGCATGTGTTGAATGTGGGAAACAATTCACACAGTCAGGTAGCCTGCAGAAACACATGAAGATTCACAGTGGAATCAAACCCCATCAGTGCATTGTGTGTGAGAAATCATTTACACACTTATATGACCTAAAGAAACACATGAGGATTCACAGTGGAATTAAGCCTTATGAATGTGTTGAATGTGGGAAAAAATTTACACAATCAGGTAATCTGCAGAAACATATGAGGATTCACAGTGGAATCAAGCCTTATGAATGTGTTGAATGTGGAAAACAATTCACACGGTCAGGTAGCCTGCAGAAACACATGAATATTCACAGTGGAATGAAACCTCATCAGTGCATTGTGTGTGAGAAATCATTTACACACTTACATGGCCTACAGACACACATGAGGATTCACAGTGGAATCAAACCTCATCAGTGCATTGTGTGTGAGAAAACATTTACACAGTCACGTAATCTGCAGACACACATGAGAATTCACACTGGAATCCAGCCTTATCAATGTGTTGAATGTGGTGAAAAATTTACACAATCATGGAGTCTGCAGACACACATGATGATTCACAGAGGAATCAAGTCTTATGAATGTGGTGATTGTGGGAAACAATTTACAGCATCATCGTATCTTCAGAAACATATGAAGATTCACAGTGGAATCAAACCTTATCAGTGCTTTGTGTGTGAGAAATCATTTACACAGTCACGTAATCTGCAGACACACATGAGGATTCACAGTGGAATCAAGCCTTATCAATGTGTTGAATGTGGGAAAAAATTTACATATTCAAGTAATCTGCAGACACACATGAGGATTCACAGTGGAATCAAACCTCATCAGTGCATTGTGTGTGAGAAAACATTTACACAATCAAGTAATCTGCAGACACACATGAGGATTCACAGTGGAATCAAGCCACATAAATGTGTTGAATGTGGGAAATCATTTACACTATCGGGTCACTTGCAGTCACACATGAATATTCACAGTGGAATCAGGCCTCATGAATGTGTTGAGTGTGGGAAAAGTTTTACATCATCAAGTAATTTGCAGAGACACATGAGGATTCACATTGGAATCAAGCCGTATGAATGTGTTGAATGTAGGAAAACATTTACACAATCAGGTAACCTTCAGAAACACATGCGAATTCACAGTGGAATCAAGCCTTATGAATGTGCTGAATGTAAGAAAAAATTTACACATTCCAGTAATCTTCAGACACACATGAGGATTCACAGTGGAATCAAGCCTTATGAATGTGTTGAATGTGGGAAAAATTTTACACAATCAGGTAGCCTTCAGAAACACATGCGAATTCACAGTGGAATCAAGCAGTGAAGATAACTGTGTTGGGCTAGGGAAAGGATGTACACCTTCAGACACCCTGCAGAAACACATAAGGATTCAAAGTGGAACTCCGTCTTATCCATGTGTGGAATGTGGGAATACATTTGCAGTGTCAGATGCTCCTAGCCAGTTAAAATGATCACGTCTTCTTAGGTAATTGCCTTCTTACGACATACCTCATGTTGTAAACTTTGTGTCATCGTGCATCTCGAAACTTTAGAGAAATTTGTTAACGATAAACGAGTAGAGCTGGGATGTGTAAAATCTTGGGTTTTCCATCTCAGGCACACTTGCTTGAATAAACCCAAGGAACTCACAGCTCTCTCCTTTGTTTTTTCAAGGTAGGAAACATTTAAACTTTATTCTTGTTTATGTCTGACTTGTTATTTTTTTGTAAATATCGTTTAGGGAATGCCAGAGTTTGGCACATCCCTACGATACTGAAGCACTCTTCGAAATACCATGTATGTATGTATGTATGTATGTATGTATGTATGTATGTATGTATGTATGTATGTATGTATGTATGTATGTATGTATGTATGTATGTATGTATGTATGTATGTATGTATGTATGTATGTATGTATGTATGTATGTATGTATGTATGTATGTATGTATGTATGTATGTATGTATGTATGTATGTATGTATGTATGTATGTATGTATGTATGTATGTATGTATGAGTGTGCCTGTGTGTGTATGCCTGTATGTATGTATGTTTGTGTCTGTATGTATGAGTGTATCTGTATTACAGAACAAAGACAACTGCGAACACCTCACGGTTTACAAATGTTGCCTTCTCTGATAGAAATGATTTACGGAGAAAGATTGTGGTCTGTCTAGTGTTTAGGTTATGATTGTAGTTAAATGCAACAAGCATTTTAAGAATTTCAAACACAAACATCACCCAGATGTTCCACCAAGTATTGATCATCAGCCAGTTGTTTTCCCCCACTGTCGATCATCATGGACAGCACCACCAACTGTCGATAATCCCTAGTAAAACACACACACACACACGTATTAAAAGAATAAGAATAAAATAAAATAGAAAATACAGAAAATGAAAAAGATACAAACAAGATATAAGAAAAAAAACAAAGAGACAAACACACTGTAGTGGAACTACTGGGTGATGATCGACGATCGGTGGAAATACTGGGTATCGATGGTTGAACTGCTGGATGATTATTGACGGTTGATGGTACTACTGGGTGATGCTCGATGGTTCGGGGAAATTTTGGATGGTGATGAAAAGTGTGTGGGAGGAACTCTAGTGGATTATGATCAACAGTGGCTGGAACTACTGGGTACCGATCAACATTCAGGAGAACATCTCGATGATGACAGGCGATTGTTGGAACTCCTGGGTGATGATTGACGGTTGTTGGAACTCCTCGTTGATGATCGATACTTGGGGGACCTACTGGGTGATGATCGATACTTGTGGCAACTACTGGGTGATGATCAACAATGGGGGAAAACTACTGGGTGATGATCAATGTTTTGTGTAACTGTTGAATGCTGATCGAATATAGGGACAACAAGTGGGTGATGATCAACAATGGGGACAACTGCTGTGTGATGGTCGACATAGGGGTAACATCTGGTGATGATTGTCAGTGTGTTTGTGTCTGAGTGTGGGGGGATTACTGGGTGATGATTGACAGTTGGTGAAATTGCTGGGTGATGATCGACGCTTGGGAAACTAATGGGTGATGATCGACAGTGTTGAGAACTACTGGGTCATGATCGATAGCAGTTCTCCACACTGTCGATCATCACACACCAGCTCCACTACCGTCGATCATCGACCAGCAGTTCTAATAAATATCGATCATGATCCAGTGCTCCAACTGTTGATGTCCAGTCATGTCCAGGTTCGCAACATCATGTCCACTTGTGTGTGAAATGAACAGCTGGCGTTGAGTGTTCTTGTTTGGGGTTATTATCTGTTGTGACCTGTTTATCTGCAGGATTGATAAATTTATTATCCTTACATTCTGTAAGGGGCGGTAATCAATTGCACCATTCCAGACACTAACATTATTTTTATTATTATTATTATTATTATTAGTAGTAGTAGTAGTAGTAGTGCTCGTCAGTTTCACCTGAGTTGTACCTTTCGAGCACCGTCGTCCCTTAATTTCCTCCCTCATCAAGCTGATTTACCTGGTATTACTACAATATTATTCAAAACAACGTTTCTCACGCAGCAAATATGAACACAAAGCTACAAGTTATGCAGTAAATACACAAGAAGGCACTATACTCACTGGCAAAAAAAACGACCAAGACTCGTAATATCATGTACACCCGTGTGTGAAATAAACGTGTTCATCTGTTCCGGCCTGTTGATTAACTATGTCATGTCTTTTCAGTGAGTGAGTGAGTAAGTTTAGTCTTACTCAGCTTTTAGCAATATTCCAGCAATGGCACGACTGGGGACACCAGAAATGGGCTTCACACATTGTATCCATATGGGGAATCGAACCCGGGTCATCGGCGTGACGAGCAAACACTTTAACCACAAGGCTACCCCACCGCCCCAGTCTTATCCGTCTCAGCTGTTATATCAGGGAGTCCATAATGTGGACGAGCACACTGCGACCAGAGGTCACGGCGTACCCAATAATCGATGAAGTTGTCTCCCGTACCTGATGAGAGGATCCCCCTTATGAAACGTTTTACATATCATTAATTTGGGCTTGACTGAAAAAGGATGAAGCTTGTTACACACTTTATATACACCTAACTGAATATCCTTCCACACAGAACGTCACTTCCGGTTCGCTGCAGTACTCTGGCGACAGAGTTACGTAACCTGTTTGTGGTTTCGTTGGCGGGCGAGGGTGAAGCAAACTACTTTTTAAGAACTTTTAATCGCCCGGTTTTGATTAACCACAAGTTTTTTGTGGAAAGAAGTTGGTGTTTCGCTTAAGACTAACCACAAGTCTTTCATATGTTAGACAAGAGTAAAAGAGTACAAGAAAACCCCCAAAGTTTATTCGTTCTTTACAATCTTGTACATACTATGCCTCAATGCGTCCAAATGTACAGCTAGTAGACTGACCTTGACCGTGGCAGTTCATCAGATCTGTATAACAACAAACAATCGTTATTGTAGCAGACAGCATTGATGACCCCCACGTCAACCTTGAACTAGTATATCAGTACTGGCAGTCGGCAGTGTTCAATCACTGATAAGGACAAGGTCAATATGGCGATCCTGATGGAGCGTCGTAACACGTTGTTGCCAAGGTCACAGAAGGTCTCCATGCGACGCCGTCTACACGCTACAGGGCTCCATGCTCGACGTCCTTACGTTGGACCAATTCTGACTGACAGACACCGTAATGAGCGTATACAATGGGCTAGCAGGCATTTTCAGTAAAGGCTACAACAATGGCATGGTGTGGTAGTCACTGACTAGTCACGTCTTCATCTACGTAATGCTGACAGCCGACTACGTGATTTGCGTAGACGCGGTGAACGTTATGCTGATGAGTGTGTGGTTCGGACAGACCTTTGGGTGGTGGAAGTGTCATGGTCTGGGGTGGAAAAATTACAATCAAAAGACTGCCTTCATGTCTGTCAAGGAAGAGTTAATGCCCTTTATTACCGTGAGCAGATTCTTCAGAATCACATCGTATCTGTCTTCAATCATCACCAAGATGTCCATACTTTTCAACAGGACAACGCACGGGCACACACAACAAGTCTTTCCATGCAGTATCTGGCCCAGCAACACATCCAGGTTATTCATTGACCAGCACAGTTGCCCGATGTATCCCCCATGGAGCACTTGTGGGACGAAATTGGTCAAAGTCTTTCGCGGCAACAACAGATGCGAAACATCCGGGAACTTGAGGCTGCACTACTGCAGAAGTGGAATGCCATCCTCAAGAACTCCATTCGAACGCTTATTGACTCAATGAGGAGACGTTGATCTGCATGTGTCAATGCAAATGGCGGTCACACGCGATATTGACTTTTCGATTTGATCCTCTGTGTGTGTGTGAGTGTGTGCGTGCGCGCGCGCGCGCGTGTGTGTATGTATGTACATGTATGTATGTTAAACAGTTCAGAGCAACGACCAAATCGTGTTGTTCCAGAACAAGCCAAATAGCGTCTTCTTGAGGTTACAGAACGGGGCGAGTGGAGACTAAGGAGTCACACTCTCACACGCCACAGTAAACAATATTCCAGCTATATGGCTGCAGTCTGTGAATATCGAGTCTGAGACATAAGCATCAATCTACACAACTGGGATGCAATGACATGTGTCATTAGAGTCAACCAAGTCAGCGAGTCTGACCACCGCCTTTTACGACAAGCATGAGTTAATGAAGACCAATTCTACGAGGTCCCCAAAGTTGCTTAATAAACTCAAGGCACTCACAGCTCTCTCCTTTCTTGTTTCAAGGTAAGACACATTTAAACTTTATTCTTGTTTATTTCTATCTTGTTATTTCTTTGTAAATATCGTTTAGAAAATGTCAGAGTTAAGTTTGATACATTCCTACGATATTGAAGCACTCTTCGAAATGCCTGCCATTGTAAATGGTAGTGAAAAAAAAACTGTTTCTGTAAGCAGTTACCGTACATACTCTGTTATACAATACATTGCGTATATTTCCTGACTTAGATTGAAATTGTAATAGGATATCAATGATTACTTTTGTATGTCATTATTATGTATGAATTGATGCATTTGGAATGGCATGTTAGACACTTACTTAAATAAACCCAAGGAGCTCACAGCTCTCTCCTTTCTTGCTTCAAGGCTCGCGTTTAGCATCTAATTCCCCAAATCGACAGCACCTTTGGCTAGAGGTCGCCTTAACCCAATCTTAATTACTTAGCAAGGTGTAAGACTGATTAATGTTCTCCAGTGTTAATTTGGGGTAACTTGTGGCAATTCAAAGCATACTTTCCAAACTTACATAACTTGGAGAAGGTGGAACACAACAACTATGTGCTGAGACTCACTTCTCTAATGTATATCCCACTGCCATTGTATCTTTCCGTTTTATTGAGTGAGTTTTGTTTTGTTCTACCCCACTGCTACAATTGCCTATAGCATGAATATAACATCTAATGAGATGCACAATCGTTACCACGGTTGCATTATTTAAGGTTAGATTTTCCTTACACGTCAGAGCAAAAATATTCTATCCACACCAAGTTAATAAAAACAATCATCATCATAAAAATGCAGTGATTCCTAACTGAATCGGTTAAACAAAGTTTTCATGACATCACTTCGAGGCTGGCAGCTGGAGTATGTCATACCGGGAACTCAGTCAACCTCAAATACGCCATAAGTCAGAATGCGCTGTTTCTGGTTAATGGTTGATTAGGATTACGCCTTGGTCAGCATGGGTTCAAACTTGTCAGTCAAGGGTTTCGATCACAGTCGAGCGCCCTTTTACCATTCTTCACTTTTGAGAGACTACAGTGCTTAGTATATTTCTAAGGACTCACCATGGATTAAAATGGATATGTGTGTGACAAATGACTTGACTTGCGTATATATGCAAGCTAATATCGTCTCATAAATTTTACACTGAGGAAAATTGTTAGAATGAGTGCACAGAGAGGCGTATTTTCATGTACGTTTTTCATTTTCATAATAGGGACAACTACTGAGTGATGATCGACCGTAGGGGTAACAACTGGTGATGATTGACAGTATGTTTGTGTTGGGGGATTACTGGGTGATGACTGACAGTTGGTGAAACAGCTGGGTGATGATCGATACTTGGATGAACTACTGGGTGATTATCGACAGTGGGGGAAAACACTGGGCGATGATCAATGGTTGGTGAATCTGCTTGGCGTTGGTGTACTGATTGATTGATTGTGTGTGTGTGTTTTGGTGGGGACTCCTAGATGATGAAGAGAGAGAGAGAGAGAGAGAGAGAGAGAGAGAGAGAGAGAGAGAGAGAGAGAGAGAGAGAGAGAGAGAGAGAGAGAGAGAGAGAGAGAGAGAGAGAGAGAGAGAGAGAGAGAGAGAGAGAGAGAGAGAGAGAGAGAGAGAGAGAGTGTGTGTGTGTGTGTGTGTGTGTGTTTCTCTATTATTATTTGTGATCGTAAGCTCATTTAAAACAGCAGTCTTTAACGCTAACTTATGATTTGCTTCCCTTGGGCCTTTGAAAAGAATTGTGATTCTGGGTTCAGATCCTGATGTCTGGAGGTTCGGATCACAGATTCGAACTGGTGTCTAGGTTTGTCAGCAGCAGATCTGACCAAAGCTGTAAACGTCTACGTCCAGTAGACAAAGGACTCTCTTCCCACATCAAGTTCACTCGCGTACTCCGTCATGTTTTATTAGTTCTGTTCGAAGCGCACGTGTTGTGTAAAGTCTTCCATGATGTACAGCTGCTGTTGCTTTAAGTGGAAACAAGAAACAAGAACATTGCATGATTCATCTGGGTGTTTCGGTATGACTTGATCTAGAAACACTGTTGACGTCAGGTTAAATTCATAACAATAATACCATATAAAGTATATATGTTACCCTTGTTTTAACATTGTGCGTAGTTGACATCATAGTATTAATTTTTATCACAATAAAAACAGACTGGCCCCCGGCCCCTGTTGAGGTGTGAGCCTGGCTCCCTGGGTATTCTGCGCTGGCGCTACATTGCCTTTGCTATAACGAGTCAGCCGACAGGGGCCCAGTCGTTGAGGAAACCAATCTTTTCTAAAAATAGCTTCAGCCTCGCTCGCAACGGAAGTTCCTGGTCGTCGCTGTTTTATAGATACCCTGACGGCGAGAGGTAGTACATAGGGGTGACACTCGAACAGAATAGAAGTAAATGTAGCAGAGGTAAGTCTTCCGACCCTACATTTTAACGAGGAGGGAAAATATATGTACATTCATGTGATATGCTTTGGCTTGAAGCCAGGGGATTTAAGGGAGGTCACCCATTTTGTACGGGAACAGGTCAACAGGTTCGCTACAACCCCCGAACGGGTAATTGAGCCCGTTCGGGAACTAACACCCCGATCGGGATAATAAAATCGCCCTCAAAGTGCAGAAAAAACTTGTTTTTCTGCACCCAAGGGGCATTTCACATCGGCGCATTATGGTGACTTGTTGTAAATGTCAACGAAACCTCCAACTTGGCTATGGTTACACGCAAGTTCCCAAATGATGCCGCATTTGTGGCGCTGACCCCTCGAAACAGAGAACCCCTGTGGTGAATGTTACACATTTAGGCCTATAAATGAATCATTAAAGTCATTCTTTGCATATATTTGAACAGAAATGCAATTGTCCCTCACCACACTTTCCTTGTCGATGGGAAGTAAATGCCCAGCGCCCTCTAGTTAGCGACAAAAGGAGGAAACAACTCCAGCAGCGGTTCATCTACTTGAAAGTATGGAAACATATTTCAGCAATGAATCTTGTTCTTAATGTATGTTAATTTCAAGTGAACGTAGGTGGAATTGTCCCTACCATGAGGTCACAACTCCATATGTGTAATATCATAATGCTATTTGACTTCGCATGTAATTAATATTAATATAAGTATCATCGCTTCATCATCTAGTTGTCTGTAAACTATTGTGGTATTTTCGTTTACAAAGCAGACATATTTTCATCCCCTTGCATTACTAACCTTTCAAGTGCAATGTACAGCGGCATGTTCAATGACATGTATGGATTCATAACCAAAAATGCTATTCATGATCCTTTGATTATTTCAATCTTAATTCTGGTTCAGATTGAGCTCGAAATCATTATGTCACAACTGCGCCTCCATAGTTGTTTGCTGGTGTGCCACTCCAGCTTAGATTATCGCCCTTTGTAGGCAAACAGAGGGCTCTTGGCAGTTACTTCCGGATAAGATGGAAAGCGTGGTGAGTGACAAGTGCACTTGAGCTACAATTATGGCATAAAATGACATAATTGATATATTTTTAGACCATAATGTGTGTAAGTTCTGCAAGGGGTCCTCTGTTTCGAGGGGGTAGCGCCCAAAATGCGGCATCATTTGGGAACTTGCGTGTAACCATTGCCTAGTTTGAGGTTTCGTTGACATTTATAACAAGTCACAATAATGCGCCGATGTGAATTGCCGCTTTGGTGGAGAAAAACATGTTTTTTTCTGCACTTTGAGGGCAAGTTTATTATCACGATCGGGGTGTTAGTTCCCGAACGGGCTCAATTACCCGTTCGGGGGTTGTACCGAACCTGGTCAAATGTCCACACGAAAAATTGCCACAGTGACCCTAGTCAAAATGGGCATACGAAAAAGTCAAAATGCCCATATGATCATCACAGCCTAAAGGTATACGTCTTTAGGTCTACTTTAGGTCTCATCACTAAACGTTTCTGGTCCCCAAGCAGTTAGTGGCATTCTTTTCTATAACATTTCTAGCCTCCAAGTAATGTAGTGTTGATATTATAGCCAGTCATCTCAGAAGGCTACAGTTATAACTTTGAAGATATATGATGGCGTAGAACATATTGAAAATCTTTTCTTTAATATTCCGTTAAAACCTTAAAAATCCCATTCCTGGGCAGCTTGAAGAAATTGGGAAATTCACTGAGCCCTTCATATCAGCTCGAACTTGTTATTCCACGCTCTGTCATCAATTGCGTTAATATTTGCTGGACTAACTAGTTAGAGTTGCCCCCCCCTTCACAATTTGCTCGAAATGGTTGTCTGCTCCTTGTGTTGAAGGACAAGCAGCTGAAGTTTCTTTGATAAATATTGCTCCTGCAATGAAACTGTCAAGGTAAATGATGCCTTCATATTTATTTCTTTATGTGTGTAATTTGAAGTAAGAATGCAACCCAAGTATGGATTAGAAATAACTTTATCAGATAAATACAACAAGAAATAACAGTTTACACGTTCACACCTGTTGAGCTGGAGTCAGTAATTATCACCCTTCAAAGGCATCACGCACATAACACAGTTAACACACTGCACACACATCACACAATTCACTAGTGTTGGGAATTGGTGTAAATCTCATAATTGATGATTGGTTCATTACAACCGATCAATCATCAAAAATAATTGGTTAGCGTCATTTATCGAATTTTCCTGGTTATGTTTGTTAATGCCCAAAAAATAAAGAAAAAAACATGTAGTTCTCTTGTTTTTTCCCCGCAAATTGCACAAAATGCATTTGCATCTTTAAAAGATGACTAGTGTGTTAAGAACATACATTTCCTGGAGTTGTTAAGATAAACTTAATCATGACTTGGAACGAGCTTTTAGTGCTTATGCAATGTGCGATCGACACAGATAGATCTTTCTTCATGAAGAATAGAGGTGTCTGGCCCATGTTCTTGTGAGTAATATCTAGGGATGAAATTAGTTCTGTTAACTGATTTCATTCAGAATTTGCTCACAAGATTGGAATGTTATTTCTTATCAGCCCAGAGAACAACTTTAAACTGCATAAACTGTAGGTAGGTTTTAAAGGTATTATCAGTGTAGGAAAGATGTAGAAAATCTAGCCTGTCCACAGGACTGGCAGGTCAAATTTTTTACCAGTCCTGCCAAAATCTAGCCTGTCCTCCAAATATAAATAAAACACCTTCGGCAGTAAATATTCGAAAAGGTTATAATCATTATATATATGTCATTGGTTTGCTAAAATTGACCCGACATGAGGACGGACTAGATATTTTTTTAACCCGTCCTCCACAAAATTCACCCGTCTCGGACGTTGGGACGGGCTATCTTTCCTACACTGGTATTATACAACTTCTGGTCAAGTGCATATGAATATATAAATAGGTAAAAATCTGAGCTATTGACCCAGTACATTAAGAAACTGCTAACACGATTTGAAATGCTATTTACTACCTTCAGTCTAAAGGAAATGTTGAAATTGAATAAACTGTAGGTTTTTAAGGCATTATCCCATTTCTGGTCAAGGGCATGGGACTAATAATAATAGTTAAAATATGTGAAAATTATAACTATTGACTCAGTACAGTCAGAAACTGCTCATAAGTGTGAAATGCTATATACTAATATAATATACTAATATACTATATAAATATCATAAGATAATAAAAGTAATAATAGTTTGAAGTTTGAAATGTTATTTAGTATCATCAGCCCAGAGGAAATCTTGGAATTCATGTAAAATGTTTACAAGATATACAATGAATAAAAAATAAATTCTGCTTAATGTATGCCTATTGTTACATGAAACTCCTTACATGGTAACTTTGAAATGTAAGGAAGATATGGCATCTGCAAAACTGTAAGAGTAATTTTGTCAGTCATTGCTCCATTGGCAGCATTCCATTTACACAGAGTTGGAAATTAACATAAGCCATATTGTCCCCCTCTGTATCAAAGTCACAACACTTGAGATGGACTCCATATCTGAAAATGACATGCTTCTTTCACCGCTACATACAAATTGTGGTGTGTTGTTGCACTGTAAAAAACAAACCCAGACAGACAATCAATGTACCATGCTTACATTAACTAACTACACCAAAAACATTCACAAGAAATGCCTCCAACATGCTTAAAAACCATGGAAAGTATTTTGAACAAATAAGAATGACAGGTGCAGGTGTGAGTGAGTGAGTGGAGTGGGTGATGCAGGAGAAGCTGAATGTGGAGAGTGAATCTAGAACAAAAGTGTCCGGCAAAACGAGAATGCCCGGGAGAGCAAAGTTGATGGAGTGTGTAGAGAGGAGTGACTGGAGTGGTGCTGAGTGGAGTCGGTGGTGCAAGAGGAGCGGAGCTGACTGGAGACGAATGAGTGGAGTGGCATGGTGTGAGCAGAGCTAGTGGAGAGAAGCAAGTGAATGAGTGAAGTGGAGGGGGTGGAGCGAAATAGATTGAGAGTAGAGCGGGTGGAGGGGAGATGAGTGAAGTGAGTGAAAAGAAGCGGAACAGAGGGGAGTAGAGCAGGAACAAGATAAAATTAAATTGGTCGACTCGGGGTCGTTTCTTCGAAGTAATTAAAGTCGACTTCGTCGTCGATAAAATCAAAGTCGTCGTCGACAAACAGAAGCCAGAAGTGGATTAAAGTTTCGGAAGTCAGTTCGAAAACAAAGTCGTCGTTCGTCGTCTATCGCTCGTCGTCTCTCGGCTCGACAGATCAAAGAAATAGTTCGAAATAAATGAAGTCGTCGATCGACAAAGTAAAGGTCTTTCGTCGTCGTCGACCGAAGTCGAAGTGGAAAAGTTAAAGAATGGAACAGATAAACGTCGTAGATTTCGTCGTCGAAGTCGTCGATTTCCGGTTTCTTTCGTCGGTCTTCGAAATAAGCTTCCTCTTTCATCGTCGTCGAATGAATTTCTAATAAAGTATCGTCGTCGATAGACCATCAAAGTCGTCGTCGGCTCTCGTAAAGTGGTCGTCGAGAATAAAGTTCGAGATGGAAATTCAAGATCAAAGATTAAAGTTGTGGTATTAAAGGCTATAATTTTCCTAATCAAAACATAATATCATCTTGCAACTTTATAATTTACTTAAATATATATAGCAATAGCATACATATAATTTGTATCATGACTTGCAAATAAAGTCATTTTGATGATAAACATGAGTTAAACATTCAGATTACCAACCCTCGAAGAACTAAATGTTCACAACGAATTATGTCAGTTGCCCAAATGAACAAGTCATAAGATAAGATTTCTTTATTATCTCAAGGGAAATGTTGTGTGCATCATGTACAGTTCTCCAGTCTATATTACCTGCAAGTGATTGCAAGTCACAATATCATTACCTCTCGAAATGGAACCCATACAAATAGATAGTACAAAGCCCCATTCACAATGCTTAACTCGCATAGTCTGCACAAAAACCATTATTTTCAGAAGAAGAAAATTTATACAATGTTTATGATGATTTTGATGATGATTGTGATCTACACATTGTTGTAGATAAATGATGACTATCTGTCAACCATGAATAGACTTCAAAATCTAAAGTGTTGTCTCATGTAACACAATATGTAACTACAGGTTTGAGGAACAGACTGTAGTGTTACATCTTTGTTCAAGTGGCAATTTATGGCTATTTTAATCCCATAAGTGGATTCATTACATTGGGTTTTACTGAACTATATATTTCCGGAATTTTTTAAGTAAATCTGAGTATAGAGAAAAATATGCCAAAAAAGAATGTATGACAAGTCCCCTTTACAGCAATATTTATGCAAGGATATTTTCAACCAAAGTGAACCGATTCTACACAATTTTATTATTAGTAATTCACGCAATATTCATACGCTTCAGGGTGGAATTAAAAGCATGGGACAAATATCACCACATTATTCTTGACCACTTATGTTCTAGTCAACATTGTCCTGACACGGAACAGTTGAGAGACGAAATATGAAAAGTTTATATTTTGTTTAAATCACCTCGAATTATAGCTTCAAACATAAAGATGATCTTTAGGCACAACAGATACATTAATAGAAACGTCCAATTCCGATTCATTAACAAGAATTTAGAACTTGTGTCCCTTCAGTTCCATTTTTCTGATTGTGAATTTTCTGTGACCAAGAATGAATTTTCCGTTACATCAATTTCATAATGACAAATTTTCTGTCACAATAGAGCTATTCAGTGTTTTAGATATGTGTCTTCGCTGATTAAACAGCACATGCTTCATTGTAGTAGGCAATAAACCCAAGCAGAATGCTGACTTTGCAGGCTATAATAATTTATTTAATCATTTTTTTCAAATATATCAACTCATAATAAAAAAATATGAAAATCTTAACAATTTATGACTTTACATGAATATCAAATGTTTTCAGAGTAATATAGTTTAGTTCTTTCCTGAAGGAACATAGCATTGAGGTAAACGTGGAATTAATTCCCTTAGAAGGTTGATTTTGGACGTCTACAGAACATTTATTGTACCTTACCCTCGCCTTACAGATGCTACGATCACAAAGACTCTTTAAAAAATCATAAATGTTCTGTTGCAAAAATCACAAAGACTCTCGCTGTAACCAAGTTCCCTACCAATGATGCACGATATTGTGGACTTGACCGCCATATTTGCGCATGAAAATCGAGAACTCCTAACATTGCCAGATCGTAAATATTAGTGGATGTGAATCCAAAATCGTGACAGGGAGTAAAGATGCAAGTGTTGCTTCCACTTAAATACCTGCTGAAGATTCGTTTGTTCCTTTTCCAATGAAATTTAATACATTTTTCACTCAATTTATATTTTTTCTTTTGGTGAAACATGTTTTTTTCAATGGGAGGTGTACAATTGAGAATAGTCAGCGCAAAGTTTAGAAATAAAAATAGTTTTTTATTGTATGGGCGGGTGGGATTTTTACAGATCGGCGGAGATGAGAAACACAGAATTATAGACAGATGCCCTAACCCGAAAAATATGTTTAAAGCTGGTCTCCCCATGTAAGGTTCTTTTGCTGGATGTAAAGGTGCTCCAAGTGTTTAATGACAGGATGTGTCACTCCTTATGATATCTGCCATCTAAATGATATTATTATGCAATATTATTATGTAATTAAATTGATCAAAGATAGATCTAATTATGTTCACTTGAAGACATATTTGAATTATTTCAATGCAGTGTTTTACAACTGTGGGTATGCTGATAACAATATTGAGGTTAAATGGAATAATAGTGGAATATATTCATCACTTTTAACCAATTTTACACAATGGTGTATTTCACATGTACACAGGTATGCAAGACATCTATTTGTTTTTTTGTTTTGTTTTGACAGAATAATGAACTATTCATAGCCTGTAAATATGCAACGTTAGTAAAAGTTTGGATATTAAACAGCTGAATACAATTATACAGGATAAATATACATCCCGTCATTGGCATTTTCCATACTGAATATTGAAAATCACTCAAGTGTGCTGTGTGTGGGAAGACATTTTGAAGTACATTCATCCCTCGCCATAACGCGAGTCTTGGGGTCCATGGATGACCCCCTGCGTTATTAGACACCCCCGGACATACAGTGTTTCCGTTCTCCGGTATATACCTGAAAATCACCGGTAAAATTTGCTTGGGACCGGTAAAATTTTAGGTCGCCTGACACAGTGTCCGATAAATAATTAAGTCAGCGGAAACACTGGACATAACAAAACTGCTATTTCGTGTATTGTGCCCAAGCAAAACTATATCGTATTGTTGGAGGTGAAAAAAGAGTTAAAAGTTAAAAGAGATCCGAAAATATAACATCAAAGAATTTCTATTCCATTATCAGAATAATTTATATGTCAAGCAGTTATTCTCACAGAGATCTTATATATTGCTATCGTATAAGTATGATGCATGTTTTCTACAAACTATTTAACATAATAATGAGCATTGCTAAGCACTTTGGGTTACCTGGCTGGATACATTTTACGTAGGAGACAGTTTGACAAGTCACCGCTGACTTCCCGCGGTACGTGCCACATTGATTGCAAAAACAAAATGTTGGCAATTAATTGTCAAATATGACTTCAATATGAGTCAATAACGCGGGTCTTGGGGTCAATGGATGACAAGGCTGTAATCTGTTCGTGATTGCTGAGAAATATGTGAAATTGGTGCTATCGCGGTAGGCGCGAAAAACGGACCCTCACAAATGTGGTAAGCGGACGTTGTATGGAATGAGGTAATGCCATTTCACTCACGGTTTCTCCGTTGTTATTGTAAACAGTTTTAATGAATGAAAATGGGATTGAATTTAATCAAATAAAATGTGTTTTCTGACATCATACATTCTCGGATGGCAGTGTTTACCCGCACAATTACGCGGTGTGTTGCATCACAGCATACGTTGTAAGTATTCGGCTGATGGCATGTCTTATAAAGTTATTACGATGTTTCGCTGTTCATCAATTATTATTGAAAAAAACCCTGCATGTTTTAAGCATCTGAAAAACCATAGATATGTATGATTAACACTGTTAATTGCAATCCGCACTGAATTTCACTAGTTTACAACGTGATTAACCAGAGTTCAGTAGCAGATTTGTTGATGTGCTATTATTGATGCCGTGAAGATGTGTGATCGCTGTGCAATTTTTTTAAGGGAGCCATGGATTACCCCGCGGTTTAATTGAATCCGCGGTATCGCGAAGAGCGTTTATTGCGAGGGATGACTGTTTCAGGTTTGTTATCATGCAATGTGTCATACTGTGTATGGTTCCTAACCTAGTTGTTATAAGAGAGTAACAATTTCTCTTATGTTTGCAGTAACACCATAACATCCACAGGTTAATGATGGAAGATGACAGCAATCCACAGAATCCTTTCTCTGTCACTGAAACAAATGAAATCTGTTAAAGGGATTTGCTGGAAACCTCAAGAAACATTTTTATTGACACCCTGGAAATAGGTGATCTCATGAACCCACCATTGGTACCATTGGTTATCTTCAGAAACAAATGAAGATTCACAGTTGAATCATGCCTTATGAATGTGTTGAATGTGGGAAAACATTTACAGCGATCATATACTCTTAAGGTACATATGAGGATTCACAGTGGAATCAAGCCTTATGAATGTGTTGAATGTGGGAAAACATTTACACATTCATATACTCTTAAGGCCCATATGAGGTTTCACAGTGGAATCAAGCCTTATGAATGTGGTGAATGTGGGAAACAATTTACAGCATCAGGGTATCTTCAGAAACACATGAAGATTCATAGTGGAATCAAGCCTTATAAATGTGTTGAATGTGGGAAAGAGTTTACACATTCTAATTGTCTGCAGGCACACATGAGAAGTCACAGTGGAATCAAGCCCTATGAATGTGTTGAATGTGGGAAACAATTTACACAATCCAGTAGCCTGCAGGCACACATGAGAATTCACAGTGGAGTCAAGCCCTATGAATGTGTAGAATGTGGGAAAAGATTTACATATTCAGGTCATATGCAGGCACACATGAAGATTCACAGCGGAATCAAGCCTTATGAATGTGTTCAATGTGGGAAAAGTTTTACACATTCAAGTACTCTTCTGAAACACATGAAGATGCACAGTGGAATCAAACCTCATCAGTGCATTGTGTGTGAGAAAACATTTGCACAATCAGTTCATATGCAGGAACACATGAGGATTCACACAGGAATCATGCCTTATGAATGTGGTGAATGTGGGAAAAAATTTACACTTTCAAGTAATCTGCAAAGACATATGAGGATTCACAGTTGAATCAAGCTTTAGGAATCTGTTGAATGTGGCAAAAGAATTTATGCATTCCAGTAGTCTGCAGGCACACATTAGAGTGCATGGTGGAATCCAGCCTTGCTAATGTGTTGAATGTGGAAAAAACATTAACACAATCAAATATTCTGGTGACACACATGAGAATTACAGAATCAGGTAATCTGCAGACACATGAGGATTCACAGTGGAATCAAACGCTATGAATGTGTTGAATGTGGGACAAAATTTACTAGTGAGGTCATCATCAGAAACACAGGAGGATTCACTATGTAATCAAGCAGTGAAGACTTTTCACTGTGTTAAGTTTGGGATAAGATGTACACAGTGATACCCCTACGATTTTATATTCCTTCCGAAAAAAACAAACACAAAATACGAGGCTACGATAGCAGTAAAATATATGAATAAAAAAAATACATTGAATTAAATTATCAAATAGCAATCGTACCATTCACAATAAATTTCAACCACACTTTTTTCAGTAGCAAGCTGTATGTGGATACCTAATGCTGAGTTAGGGGAGTACACTGTTAATAACAAGATCTTAGAATATCTGTATATTTTTTAATTTAATATGAAAACCCTTTTGAAAAGTTGATACTAACATCAGTTTTGGTCCAAAATACTAATTGGACCAAATCATGGTTGGCATCTCTGTGCACACCTTTAGGCACCCTGTAGAAACACATAAGGATTCAAAGTGGAACCCCGTCTTATCAATGTGTTGAATGTGGGAAAACATTTGCACTGTCAGATACTCTTAGACAGTAAACCCTTCAGAGGATTCGCTGTAGACTCAACTGGTTGTTGAGGTTTAGTGTTATATATATATTACAGAGCATATACTGTAGTACTGGGGTAGTTTCTAGGCACAACATGACGTAATTGAATTGTTAGGCGCTCCACTCCGTACTTGTCCTCTGCAATTGTTGTTGATGATAAATCAACGTCAATATCCATCAGGTTATGTTATTTATCAGCACCGTAGTTACTCAAGGAAATTGTCGGTATTATGTTTCTGTAAGCAGTTACCGTACATACTCTATTATACCACAGATTGCTTATATTACCTGACTTCGGCTGAAATTGTAATAGGATATCAATGATTACTTTTGTATGTCATTATTATGTATAAATTGATGCATTTGGAATGGCATGTTAGACTCTTGCTTGAATAAACCCAAGGACCTCACAGCTCTCTCTTTCTTGTTTCAAGGCTCGCTTCTAAGAGCTAATTCCCCAAATGGAGGCCTGACAGCACCTTTTGTATACTTAACACTAAAGGTCGTCTTAACTCACGCAAAAAAATAATTAATTACATAGCAAGATGTGAGTGCGTGAGTTCAGTTTTACGCCGCTTTTAACAATATCCCAGCTATATCACGGCGGGGGACACCAGAAATGGGCTTCACACATTGTACAGCAAAGTGTAAGACTGATTAAAGTTCTCCTGTGTTAATTTGAGGTAACTTCAATGGCAACTCAATGCATACAGTCCAAACTCACATAACTTTGAGAAGGTGGAACACAACAACTATGTGTTAAGACACACATCTTTAATGAGTATCCCACTGCCATTGTACCTTTCCGTTTTATTGAGAGTTTTGTTTTATATCACTTTTGGCAATATTCCAGGTGGCGTTGACACTACAAACATGCTTGTCACATCGTATCCATGTAGGGAATTGAACCCGGGTCTTCTACCCCACTGCTACTATTGCGTATTGTATGAATATAACATCTAATGAGATGCACAATCATTACCACGGGTGCATTATTTATTCTTCAGTATTAAATCAAAAGTTCAATTTTCCGTGCACATGTCAGAGCAAGAATATATTATCCACACCAGGTTAAGAATAATAATTATCATCATAAAATGCAACAAACTTTTCAGGACATCACGTTGAGGCTGCCAACTGGACTATGTCACACCGGGGGACTCAGTCAGTATTTAGAACTTAGGTCAACCCCCCAATAAGCCTTAAGTCAGAATGATCTGACTTTGGTTAACGGTTGATTAGGATTATACCTGGGTCAGCATGGGTTCACATGGGTCAGTGAAGGGTTTCGATCACAGTCGAGTGTCCTTTTATTTTACTTCACTTTTGAGAGGCTGCAGTGCTAAGTGTATTTCCAAGGACTCAGCATGGATTAAAACGGACATGTGTGGCAAATCACGTGTGTGTGATAAATGATATATGTGACAAATGACTTGCGTACATATACAAGCTATTATTATGCATGCATATTTTCCTGGCTACCTGATTGGTCTAGATGCGGTCTCGTGGTCGTCGACAGAAAAGCATACTGACTCCAACCCAAGCCCCGATACTGAGTAGCTTGAACAAGATGAAACATAAACATGACTAGCGACGGTACTTTGATGTGGTTGTTGTCCACCCGGACAAAATCCACCCCAAAATTGCCATCCCGGACAAAATCCACCTCTTCTTAACAAAATATGGACAAAATCCACCCTTCTCAAATTTTAGTGTGTCCTGATCTTTGAAAATCCACCCTTCGCAAATTGCTATTGTTAAAAGTTTTAGTGTGTCCTGATCTTTGAAAATCCACCCTTCTCAAATTGCTAGTGGTTGTTGGTGTTTGGTGCCTTACATTCACTGTCATGTAAAACGAGTTGTTACTGGGTCAATATTGCTTTTCGTGGGTCCATGAAACGGGTATTGACCTCATCACCAGTCTATAATTGCACTGTAAAAAATCCCTGTAATTTCTACGGTTGAACCGACGTGAAATAATCACGTTTGTCGCTGTAAACGAAAATAACGTCGAAATGCACGTAAACGTTGCATCGTGGGATACTAAGCCGGGTTATCGCGCTCGCGCGCAGTAGCATCACCGGTCCGCCATATTGTCTCATAAATTTTACATTGGGGAAAATGGGCGAATGAGTGGAGAGGGCTACGTTTTTCATTTTCATAATAATGAGATATGTAATGTGTGTGTGTGTAGTGTGTACACATGTCTGTATGTATGTGTATTTGTTTGTGTCTGTATGTATGTATGAGTGTGTGTCTATTTATGTATTACAAAAAAGTAAACCGCGAACACCACACAGTTTACATGGTTAACCAACGTAACACCTGCAAATGTTGCCTACTCTCATAGATCTTTCTTTCTTTCTTTCTGGATAGGTGTTTCCAGTGTTAAGGTTATGATTGTAGGTAAATGCAGCACGACATTTAAGAAGCAAATGATTTCAAGAAAGACGACCATCTCTGGACAGAGATTTCCTTGAGGAAATCGTCAATCACCGCCCAGTAGTTCCATCACCCAGTAGTTCTCCCCACTGTCGATTGACCATCATCCAGCAGTTCTACAAACCGTTACCACCCACCCACCCCCATCCCATCTCCGTCACACACACACATGCACACCATCCCACCCCGTCTCTCTCTCTCTCACACACGGTGTCCTCCCATTACGCAGACAGCCAGTTCGCAGACACCTTAAAACAACAACATTTACGGTTCAGTGAACAGATTATCTACTACCTGTTACCTGCACATTATATTGGAATAGTCCAAATAAAAACACAGGAACAAACTGAAGCTATATTATTTATTTTGAAAGATGGATGAAAAGACAGTAATTTGAACAGTTTATGTTCATAAACATTTTTAGTCTAACGGGAGTCGGCATCATCATATTGAAAACATTAGCTTCTCTATTAGAAATTGCGACACTGTTGTATCATATAAATCAAATAAAGACAAATGTGAACCTAAATATTATTCATATGGAATAAAGAAGTTATATGTTTTGCACACAATATTAAGATATATGACGAGTGCACTTAATTACGATTTATTTGGAATAATTTAAAAAAAAAATGACGCATCATATCAATGTGGCCATGGATGTGAGAATGTTTTTCATTACTTCCTTGAATATCCATTGTATACTACTCAAAGACATAAACTGTTACAATCTTAAGAAAGTATTGCTAAAATTAGAACACTGATTGGTATTAATCGTATCTTACATGGCAATGCAGGTGTCTCATTTACAACAAATCAGAATGTTTTCAAATATGTACATATCTATATCTCTCCAACAAAACGTTTTCTCAATTAACTTCTGTTGTACATATGCTATTATTGGGAGGGGGGCTTTTCTATCAATAACCAAAATATAACCTCTCAGTGACAAACCTGTTTTTATATTCGATAGTAATTGGTAGTAAAATCAATTTTGAGAAGAGATATCATTTATCATTTAATCACAACAAAGTTCTATTTACCCACAATCAAACTTCTCAGTAACGAACCTGTTTCAGGCTCACCCTGCTCTACTCACAAGACAGTGGATTGTTCCATTATACCCGTAGGTGTTACCCTAATTAACCTTCTAGTTCAGTGTCTGCCAAATGGGTGTCTGTCAAATGGGAGATAACCTCACACACACACAAACACACACATACACAAGTGGAACTACTGGTGATGATCGACGCTCGGTGGCAATACTGGGTGTCGATCGACAATTGATGGATCTGCTGGATCATGATTCACAGTTGGGAGAACTACTGGGTGATGATCGACGCTCGGTGGGACTGCTGGATCATGATTCACAGTTGGGAGAACTACTGGGTGATGATCGACGCTCTGCGGGACTGCTGGGTCATAATTCACAGTGGGGAGAACTACTGGGTGATGATCGACGCTCGGCGGGACTGCTGGGTCATGATTCACAGTGGGGAGAACTACTGGGTGATGATCGACGCTCGGCGGGACTGCTGGGTCATGATTCACAGTGGGGAGAACTACTGGGTGATGATCGACGCTCGGCGGGACTGCTGGGTCATGATTCACAGTGGGGAGAACTACTGGGTGATGATCGACGCTCGGCGGGACTGCTGGGTCATGATTCACAGTGGAGAGAACTACTGGGTGATGATCGACGCTCGGCGGAACTGCAGGATGATGATTGACGGTTGATGGTACGACTGGGTGATGTTCGATGGTTGAGGGAACTCCTGGATGGCGATGAAAAGTGGAAGGAACTCTGGTGGACTATGACCAACAATTGCAGGAACTACTGGGTTCTGATCAACATTTAGGAGAACATCTCGATGATGACAGGCGATTGTTGGAACTCCTGGGTGATGATTGACGGTTGTTTGAACTCCTGAATGATGATCGTCGGTTGGTGGAACTACTGGGTGTTCAACAACAATGGGGAGAACTACTTGGTGATGATCGACAGTGGGGACAACTGAGTGATGATCGATATTGTGTTTGTGTGTGGGATTACTGGGTGATGACTGACAGTTGGTGACACTGCTGGGTGATGATTAATGGTTGGTGAATCTACTTGGCGCTGCTTGACTCTCTGTGTGTGTGTGTGTGTGTGTGAGAGAGAGAGAGAGAGAGAGAGAGAGAGAGAGAGAGAGAGAGAGAGAGAGAGAGAGAGAGAGAGAGAGAGAGAGAGAGAGAGAGAGAGAGAGAGAGAGAGAGAGAGAGAGAGAGAGAGAGAGAGAGAGAGAGAGAGAGAGAGTACAGGTTGGTGATGAACAGTGGGTGATGATCGACGGTCGGCGGAACTAGTACTGATGGTTGATTATCGCCTGTTGGAAGAACTAGTAGGTGATTATCAAGAGTGGGCAGAACTACTGGCTGATGATGATCGACGCTCGACACAGCAGTTCCGCCAACCGTTGATCATCACAAAGCAGTTCCAATAGCTATTGATCATCACCCAGTAGCTCCACCAACTGGGAATTATCATCCAGCAGTTCCACCAACCGCTGATCATCGCCCTGTAGATCCACCAACTGTTGATGCCCAGGCATGTCCAGGTTCGCAACATTATGTCCACTTGCGTGTAAAATGAACAACTGGCGTTAAGTGTTCTTGTTTTAGGTTTTGTTTGTTGTGACCTGTTTATCTACAGTATTGATACATATATTGTATTTACATTCCGTAAGGGTCGGCAACCAATTGCACCAGTCCCGACAGTAGTAGTAGTAGTAGTAGTAGTAGTAGTAGTAGTAGTAGTAGTAGTAGTAGTAGTAGGTAGTAGTGGTGGTGGTGGTGGTAGTAGTTGTAGTAGTAGAGTAGAAGTAGAAGTAGAAGTAAAGGTGGTGGTGGTGGTTGTAGTAGTAGTAGGAGTAGAAGAAGTAGAAGTAATGGTGGTGGTGGTAGTAGTAGTAGTAGGAGGAGTAGAAGTAGAAGTAATGGCGGTGGTGGTAGTAGTAGTAGTAGAAGTAATGGTGGTGGTGGTAGGTGGTGGTGGTGGTAGGTAGTAGTAGTAGTAGTAGTAGTAGTAGTAGTAGTAGTAGTAGTAGTAGTGGCAGTAGTAGAAGTAATGGTGGTGGTGGTAGTAGTAGTAGTAGGAGTAGGAGTAGGAGTAGGAGTAATGGTGGTGGTAGTAGTAGTAGTAGTGCTCGTCTGTTTCACCTGAGTTGTACCTGTCGAGTACCTGCGTCACGTGATTTCCCCACTCATCAAGCTGACATACCTGGTATTACTACAATATTATTCAAAACAACGTTTCTCGCGCAGCAAAGATCAACACAAAACTACAGGTTATGCAGTAAAAACAAGTAGGCGATATACTTACGGGCTCGAAGCAGACCAGGTTCGTAACATCATGTACACTTGGTGTGAAATGAACATGTGTTCATCTGTTCCGTTCTGTTGATAAACTACGACATGCCTTTTCGGTGAGTGAGTGAGCGAGTAAGTTTAGTCTTACTCAGCTTTTAGCAATATTCCAGCAGTATCACGACAGGGGACACTAGAAATCGGCATCACACACTGCACACATGTGGGGAATCGAACTCAGGTCTTCGACATGACGAGCGAACACTTTAACCACAAGGCTACCCCACCGTCCCAGTCATATCCGTCTCAGCTGTTACATCAGGGAGTCCATAATGTGGACGAACACATTGCGACCAGAGATACCCAGTAATATCGATGTACAGAGCTGTCTCCCACCAATGAGCCGCGTCTTTAAAAAAATGTGATTCTGGGTTCGGATCACAGATTCGATCTGGTGTCTAGGCTTGTCAGCACCAAACCTGAACTCGTGGGTTTGACCAAAACTGTAAACGTCTGGGACCAGTAGACAAAGGGCTTTCTCCCCACATCAAGTTCACTAGCGTACTCCGTATTGTGTAAAGTTTCCCCATGGTGTAGAGCTCGACTGTTGCTCAAACCAAGACAAAGGGCTTTCTGGCAAAAAACAGAGAACATTGCAACATTCATCTGCTTGGTTTGGTATGACTTGAAACAGTGTTGACATCGGCTTATAAATAGAGGTTAAATTCATAACAATAATAATATACAAAGTATATATGTTAACTTTTAAAATCTACATTGTGCGTAGTTAACATCGTAGTATTGATTTGGTGATGAGTGATCTCTGAACCCTGTGTTTTGGCAACGTGCAGCGTCACAGTGAATACCACAGACTGGCCCCCGGCTTCGGTTGAGGTGTCAGCCTGGTTCTGTGGGCATTCTGCGCTGGCGCTACACTGCCTTTGCTATAATGAGTCAGCCGCCGGGGGACCAGGTCGCTGAGGAAACCAGTCTTTTCTAAAAATACCTTCAGCCGCGCTCTCAACGGAAAATCCGTGTTGGCGCTATTTTATAGTTTCACCCTGACGCCGAGAGGTCGTACATAGTGGTGGCACTCAAACGTCAGTAAATGCGGCATAGGTAAGTCTTCCGCCCCTGAATTTTAACAAGGAGTGAAAAGATATGTTTTTCGTATAATATAATTTGACTTTAAGCCAGGGGATTTAAGGGAGGTCACCCACTTTGAACACATGTACAACCTAGAGGGGAGGTCAGCAATGTTGTGCAGGTTACACAACACCAAATGATTTCCCATAGAGACTTCTATATTAACCTTATATCATTTTTTTTAAAATTACCCAGGCTATCTGTTGACATCGTACTTCTTACTCATGAACGACAGAGGCATCCAAGTTGGGGTTAAAAGTTTTAATAAATCATCCTTCGCACATCGGCGGTTACATTCAAACTGAGCATGGGAACACATGTGCAGGTACTTCCGTAAGATAAAAGGGAGTTAATTGTTTTTGTCTTTTACATACCGCTAAAAACATTAATGAGAAAAGTGACTGATGCTTACGTACAATATCCACAAAGCAATATAACTACAGTTTACAACAACACAATCAACAGTCATTCCATGTACACGGGTACAGTCAGGCTTTTAAACTATTAGTTTGGCATGAAATTCATGTGGACCCGTTTTTGGTAAATATCTCTTCATCCAATGACCCAATCGATCTCAAACTGTGCAAGAGGATGTTTTGTCAGACAACCTAATCACATTGTAAATCACCGATTTTATGCATTTGTATTAAAGAATCTGTCTATGTAACTGTCAACAAAATAAACAGCAGAGCGCAGAAGGCTTGCAGAGGGAGGGAGCCAATGACCTGTAACAGCGGTCAGGGTTCGAAATACCCCATATATTAGTGTGCCATGGCACGGTAATTATTGAAATGGCACAGCTAAAAAATGTTCTCGGTGCCCTTTTGACACGCCTGATTTTAATCACGTCATTTAATCGCCAAAACAATTATTTTTTCCAAATTAAATAATACCATACATATTTGAATGCTCATAAACCAATTTCTTTCTTTAACAATAAATTTCAAATTATCATCATCATTGTCATTTATTCTAAAAACATGTGGGCATACTCAATTTCTGAAAGGCACACCTAAAATATTTGTCTGGTGCCCTAAGGCACACTTAGAAAAAAAAGTATTTCTATCCCTGGCGGTAGTGTTGGGTCATAAAGGTAAATGCACGTGCAGTTCATGATAGTTACCTGTGCACTGCACAGTGATAGACCGTTTGGATCATTCACATTGACTACTTCTAGCTGTTATCATGAAAGCTTATTCAGATGATGCTAAAAGTTTAATTAGCAATGTGTTTAATTTTTTTTAAAAAGAGAGCAAACGTAGCAAACCGATTTATAAGGTGTCGGATTACATGAAACGTACAACTTTTGCTCCTGGCATGAAAGAGAACATCGTGCTAACAATTGTGAAAAATAAACCAACAACCAATAAACAAAACCTTGTACAAAAAGGTAGGCATCCAAAGTTAGATTCTTTTGAAATCAGGGTCATCAGCATAGCTGACCTACATTGAGGAACGTTGACCTTTATGACCCAACACTGCCGCTGTTACAGGTCATTGGCTCCCTCCCTTTGCAAGCCTTCTGCGCTCTGCTGTTTATTTAGTTGACAGTTACATAGACAGATTCTTTAATACAAATGCATAAAATCGGTGATTTACAATGTGATTAGGTTGTCTGACAAAACATCCACTTGCACAGTTTGAGATAGATTGGGTCATTGGATGAAGAGATATTTACCAAAAAACGGGTCCACATGCATTTCATGCCAAACTATACATTAAAACACAATTTCTGGACAAATTGTCCGGCTCATTGTCTGAGCACAGGAAGCGGAAGACATCAGTATTAAACAGTAGCAGTACTGTTAAGGGCTGTAGGTTTTAAAGGTATTATCCCACTTCTGGTCAAGGACATGTGACTAGTAATAATAGTTTGAAGTTTGAAATGTTATTTGGTAATGGCATCCTCAGCCCTGAGGAAATCTTAATCCAGTAAAATTCTCACAAGATATAGAATAAATAAAAAGAAATTCTGCTTAATGTATATCTATTGTTACATGAAACTCCATACATGGTAGCTTGGAGACATAATGAAGATATGGCATCTGCAAAACTTTAAAAGTCATTTTGTCAGTTATTCCTACATTTGCAGTTTTCCATTTCCACAGAGTTGGAAATTAACATAAACCTTATTGTCCCCCTCTGCTCCACTGTATCAAAGTCACAACACTTGAGATGGACTCCATATCTGAACTTATATTGTTGAGATGCTTGTAATTCAGGTTCTTGAATTTCTGAATCAGAAAATGACTTGCGACTTTCAGTACTACATGCAAATTGTGGTGTCTTGTTGCACTGTAAACAATACCCAGAAAGACGATCAATGTACCATGTTTGCATAAAATATCTGCACCAAAAACATTCACAAGAAAATGCCCACCAACAAACTTAAAAACCATGGAAAGTATTTTTAATAAATAGGAATGGCAGTTGCAGGTGAGATAGACTAACAACTAGTCTCTGAAAGGAACATATTTTACTGAAAAAAAGTTCATAGTAAAAATATGATATAATGAAAAGGAGCCCTGAGACTTTCTTCATTCCTGAAGCTGAGGAAATCTAGACTTGCCACATTTTCTAGACTTGCGTGGGCTTTCTTGGATATATTTGCTTCAGGGTCTGTACGACAGACTACAGGTGTGAGTGAGTGATTGAAAGGGTGTGTTGGAAATGAGTGAGTGAGTGGAGCAGAGTTGAAAGAGTGAGTTGAGCGGGTGATGCAAGAGGAGCTGACTGGAGGGGAAAGAGGAGAGAGGATTGGGTGGAGGAGAGTGGTATGGAGTGCCTGGAGTTGAGTGGGTAAAGTAAGTGGAGAGGCATGAGGTGGGAGGAGTGGAGCAGAGGGAGTGAAGTGGAATGTTGTTGAGTGGAGTGGGTGGTGAGAGGATTATTGCTGACAGGAGTGGAATGAGTAGGGTGGAGCGGAGTTGGTGGTGAGAGGATTATTGCTGACTGGAGTGGAATGTTGTTGAGTGGAGTGGGTGGTGAGAGGATTATTGCTGACTGGAGTGGAATGAGTTGTGTGGAGCGGAGTTGGTGGTGAGAGGATTATTGCTGACTGGAGTGGAATGAGTTGAGTGGAATGGAGTTGGTGGTGAGAGGATTATTGCTGACTGGAGTGGAATGAGTTGAGTGGAGCGGAGTTGGTGGTGAGAGGATTATTGCTGACTGGAGTGGAATGAGTTGAGTGGAGCAGAGTTGGCGATGAGAGGATTATTGCTGACTGGAGTGGAATGAGTTGAGTGGAGGCGGAGTTGGTGGTGAGAGGATTATTGCTGACTGGAGCGGAATGAGTTGAGTGGAGCGGAGTTGGTGGTGAGAGGATTATTGCTGACTGGAGTGGAATGAGTTGATTGGAGCAGAGTTGGTGATGTGAGGATTATTGCTGACTGGAGTGAGAGAAAAGGAACGGAGCAAAGCTATTGGGGCGAAGTGAGTGGTTGAAGCGGTGTGAGTGGAGAGGAGTGAGAGAAAAGGAACGGAGCAAAGCTAGTGGGGCGAAGTGAGTGGTTGAAGCTGTGTGAGTGGAGAGGAGTGGAGCAGAGGGACTAGAGCAGAGCTAGTGGAGCGAAGTGAATGGTTGAAGCGGTGTGAGCGGAGAGGAGTGGAGCAGAGGGACTAGAACAGAGCTAGTGGAGCGAAGTGAGTGGTTGAAGCGGTGTGAGTGGAGAGGAGCAGAGCAGAGGGACTAGAGCAGAGCAGAGGGACTAGAGCAGAGCTAGTGGAGCGAAGTGAGTGGTTGAAGCGGTGTGAGTGGAGAGGAGGCGGAGCAGAGGACTAGAGCAGAAACTAGTGGAAGCCAGTGAGGAAAGTGAGAGTGGTTGAAGCGGTGTGAGCCCGAAGTGAGAGTAGTTAAAGCGGTGTGAGTGGAGAGGAAGGAGAGAGCAGAGGGACTAGAAACAGAAGCTGGTGGAAGCGAAGTGAGTGGTTGAAGCGTGTGTGGCAGAAGTGAGAGTGGTTGAAGCGGTGTGAGTGGAGAGGAGTGGAGCAGAGGGACTAGAGCAGAGCTAGTGGAGCTGAGAGTGAGAGTGGTTGAAGCGGTGTGAGTGGAGAAGGAGGCAGAGGACTAGAGCAGGACTAGTGGAAGCAGAGTGAGTGAAGCTGAAGTGGAGAGGAAGTTGGAGTGAGTGGTTGAAGCAGTGTGAGCAAAAGTGAGTGGTTGGTGTAGCGGTGGAGAGGAGGAGCAGAAGGACTAGAGCAGAGCTGAGTGGAGGCAGAAGTGAGTGGTTGAAGCGGTGTGAGTGGAGAGGAGTGGAGCAGAGGGACTAGAGCAGAGCTAGTGGAGCGAAGTGAGTGGTTGAAGCGGTGTGAGTGGAGAGGAGTGGAGCAGAGGGACTAGAGCAGAGCTAGTGGAGCGAAGTGAGTGGTGAAGCGAAGCGGTGAGAGTTGGAGGACTGGAGTAGAGGACTAGAGCAGAGCTAGTGGAGGCGAAAGTAAAGTGGTTGGCAGGGTGTGTGTGGAGAGAAGGGAGGCGGAGGAGGGGACTAGAGCAAGAAGACTAGTGGAGAAAGTGAGTGGTTGAAGCAGAGGGACTAGCGGTGTGAGTGGAGAGGACTGGAGTAGAGGGACTAGAGCAGAGCTGTGTGGAAGGCGAAGTGAGTGGTTGAAGCGGTGTGAGTGGAGAGGAGTGGAGCAGAGGGACTAGAGCAGAGGTAGTAGAAGCTGAGTGGAGGAGCCGAAGTGAGTGGTTGAAGCTGTGTGAGAGGGAGGAGGTGGAGCAGAGGGACTAGAGCAGAGCTAGTGGAAGCCCAAGTAAGCAGTGGTTGAAGCGGTGTGAGTGGAGAGGAAGTGGAGCAGGGGACTAGAGAGCAGAGGTAGTAGAAGCGTGAAGTGAGTGGTTGAAGCGGTGTGAGTGGAGAGGAGTGGAGCAGAGGGACTGAGAGCAGGAGTGGAGGCCGGAAGTAAGTGGTTGAAGCGGTGTGAGTGGAGAGGAGTGGAGCAGAGAGGCAGTAGAAGCGAAGTGAGTGGTTGAAGCGGTGTGAGTTGAGAGGAGTGGAGCAGGGGACTAGAGCAGAGCTGAGTGGAGGCGAAAGTGGGAGAGAACGAGTGGTTGAAGCGGTGTGAGTGGAGGGCGGATCGGAGTTCAGTGGAGGTGGCGGAGGCAGTAATATGGGGAGTCGAGTAGAGTGATTGGTATTTAGTGGAGGAGAGCAGGCGAGGTGAGGGAGTGGAGCTGAGCGGCAGGCAGAGTGAGTGAGGGAGTGGAGCTGGCGAGAGTGGAGTGGAGGCGGAGCACAGCTGGCGAGTGAGTGGATGGAGTGGTGGCGGAGCCGGAGCAGAGGCGAATGGTGTTAAGCTGAGCGAAGGGAAGTCGGTCTGAGTATGGGGTGATTGGAGTATGTGGTGTGAACGGAGCGAAGTGGTGTGGAGTGGAGTGGTTTGGAGTTGAGTGGTTGAAGTGAGCTGAGTTAGTGGAGTGAGGTAGGTGGAGCGGAGCGTGGGGAGTGGAGTGGGTGGAGCAAGCGATTTCATCGGAGCATAGAGGACTGAGCGTAATGGAGTGCAGTCAAGTTGAGATGAGTGATATCTAGTGGAGCGGAGTGAGTAGAATGGAGTAAAGTGGAGCAAAGTGGAGCGGAGTGAGTGGTTTGAATCGGCTGGAGTGGAGTAGATGGAGGGAGTCAAGTGAGCCAGTGGGTGGAGCAGAATGATGTGGAGAGGAGGGCAATGGACGGAGTGAGTATAATGGAGTGAGAGGAGTGAGTGAGGGGAGATTTGTCTTGGTGTCTATAAACATTTCAGTAATTTTAGTTATAACAATATCATCAAATACTTTATCTTACCAAACCGGTGTGGGAGAGAGTTAAAAAGTGTAACATTAAACTAAACATCTTCACTTGAGCACTGCATCTTATCATTTACTAATTCAGTTACCTTGACAGGTATATAACGGGATGCAAATCCTCCCTTTACTTTTCTGGAGAAACACTGTGTGACTCTCTTCGCTCATTCCTGTTGCCACAGTAAGGAGAGTACATTTTTAGCTGGACATACATTGGTGAGTTTGAAGAAACGTTGACCACTACCCACCAACCTATTATATTCACGACCTCATTTGTTATAACCCATGGACATTTTAAAGAATAAATACGTATGGCAGATGCATTTAGTTACGTTAAACCTAAGCAATACCAAACATGAAGTATATGAATATGTATTTAACTTTGAGGCTGTTGAGAACTTTCTTAGATTTAGTCTGTTACATAACTACACATCAATGTAGAAACATGGATCAAGGATCTAGGAGCAGGCAAGACTTATTACATTTTCTTACCTGAAGTTTCCCTCTATCAGGCTGTGACATAACATGACAAGATTCACGTCATAGAGTGAGTGAGTTTAGTTTTATCCACACTCAGCAATATTCGAGCTATATGATGGTGGTCTGTAAATAATCAAGTCTGGACCAGACAATCCAATGGTCAACAGCATGAGCATATATATGCAATGGACCCACCTCATAGAGAAAAACTATGAACACTGAAGAAACTCCCCATGTAAACTCTTAACATTATGACACTTTATAATGCTAGACTGGTAAACAAAATATATTGTTATTAACCTTGCATACTTACCTCATTCTCTTGGAACTTGCATAGTTTCTGGAGTTATTTTCTGTACCTCAATCAAACTTTTCTCTATAGTAGATTTGATTTCACCATATACATGGAATATCTTTGATGTCAAGGAGGATAACATTTTTCAGTGAACAGTTCACGGGAAATAACTGCTTAAATGTTCAACCAGTTACCAGTTAGACACAGACACTGGGGATGGGTAGAGAAGGGGGGTGGGGGAGGGAGGGGGTTCCTGGCAGCTGAGGGAGGAGGGGTGCAAACAGTTCACAGACCAACTAGGAGGCATTTTAGGCAGCTGTGATTAGATGATTGAGAATACACTTTCATTTTTGAAAAGAGAGTAACTGTGCAGGAATTCACAGCAAACACAAGTGTAGTTCCCATAGGGTCATCAGTTTGGTTTAGGCGCGTCTTATGTATCATGTGTATATATAATATTTTGATTAGCTACTAAAATGTAGTGTACATGTGTAATTCTTTTACATCACTTTAACACTTTGTTGATTTAATCTTGAAATAGAAATATTTAAGAGTGTTATGCTACATAACATCAAGGTTGCTTCTTTAGTATTGTGCACCATGAGCTTGATGGTATATCTGTTAGACCAAACAAATGCTCACCTTTTAAATTTTCCTTACACATGAATGCCATGTTATGAAGATTGAGAAACAGTCACATTTCATTGTTTTCAAATGAGTCCATTTATACAATTATACAGTGTTATATCCGGGTTGTATTTTTCTCACTTGTACTTTAAACAATGATTAAGTACCATGTAATTTCTATTGCAGAAAATAAATTCCGGTATTTGGCAGTTGCGATATGTAAATGAAACATGAACATTTTGATTCATGTAAACAAAAATAGATGTTTCTAAGAAAATACCAGTATTCCATTCTGATGATATTATGTATAATATTTCAAAGGTTGATGATGACCAATGAACATATGTATATATGAATTGCCATCATCTTTGGATGTGAGTGTTTGTCTATTTCTAGACTTGCTTGAGCTGAATTGGCGAAAGCGGAAATTCACAGTTAAAACTGAAAGGTTCATTGGTCTATTAATGGCTGAATCACCTGAATACAGTCTAGCTTGTGCTAGCACTGACTGAGCGGGTTGCCATAAACATGTCTTTAGTTTATTTAGTTTATTAGTTTACTACAGTCATGTGTTACATAGTACAAAAACATTAAGTACAGATATACAAACACCAGGCATCAGAGGGCCGAAATGACACCTTAAAATGTTGCAGATTAAAAATTCAGTTAAATAAATGCGCAGTGATACTTAGTGTCTCCACTAACTTTTCAAACCGCCGGAACAGTGAACCGACAGCAGTGAATATTTTCGGTACGTTACGATTTTCAACAGTACCATACAATAACCTGAACTTGAAAAAATAAAAATAAAATGCTCACACCTTCAAATCTTCCTGTTTTTATTTGCTCTGAATAACTTCACAGCGTGTGAAAAATCAAATTGTTCAGTCTGCGCTGGGACAGTCGATTGTAAACGACTGGCGGCGTGGATCCTGTTTTGTAAGCTAAATCCTCGTTCAGCTGGCACACTTGTTACTGGAGTTATCAGTCTATAACTACGAGATATGACGAAAGCGATAACGTCATAACGAGCTCGTATCTGACGATGAGGTTCGTATAAATACTCGTGTTTTGTTTAAAAAACAAATGATTCAAATAAAATTGGAAACCGACCCCCAAGGTAAGGTCGTGAGAATATTTCTTAGTTGAGAGCGTTAATACGGCGCATTTAAAAAAAATTATTACGGTACCTATAATTTACGACAGTGAATAGCTTGATGACTGTAACTGGAGTTCTAATGGATCGATTTAAACGAAACTTTTTGCATTATTTCCAATGTTGAACGAACTTTTTATTCATTGGTGCTACCAAACACGTTCGGTACAACAAGGACTGGTCGGCTCGGAGTCAGTATACTGTGTCTGAGTGGGGTATTCATGCTTCACTGCAGCATGATATCTCAGTGGGTTAGCACTATAAAACCAGCTTCAGTCTGGGCTAGTACAAGCAGCCGCATATACACATACACACGCATGCACGTCATCATCTGAGCGAAATATTCTCAAGCACGATGTCTTTGTTTCGTGAACGCTAATTACAACACGAGTTGCGTTGGCCGTACCCCATGATTTCATAACATTTTTAACCAATGGCAACGTCGCACAGACCATTTCATTTTTAAAACTTGAAATCTTCTTATAGTACCTCTTCACGACTTTGGCGTCACTTGCGTTTTGGCTTCCGACTTAAGGACATCTCGTGATCATATCGTCTGCATTCAGAATGAATTCGTCATTTCCTATGTGAGTATTTCGGTATTTGTCCTACTTCTGGAAACACGATAACATTATTACATTATAACATTGTTATTAATTGCAATTAATTTGGTTTGACTGCTTTTTCCTATGTTTTTTGTTTGTTTAACAGCGTGTCTTTGCTGGATACAACTTTGAATTATCCATAAGTACTTTTTGTTTCATTTCTTAGGTAAGTTTTATTAGAATGTAATGTCAACAACAAAAATTACGAACGAAGGATCATTAGATTACAATTTGTAACGAGTCGTGTTCATCTTTGCCCTTTATTTTCATTTTAATTTCATTTGTAGTCTCTGGAGCAGCACTCCTGTACGTCCATGAGTGAAGACGCTCAAGCGGCGTCTTTCTTACAAGGGAGAAGTGCCATCCCCCGTGTAAGTCGCTATTTTACTACATTTTGCTTTTGATGCGCGGTATACTCGTATACATTTTTGCGCTTGATTTGTTGATAGTCTCGATGCTTAGGCGTTTTATTCAAAGGTTTCTTGTACGATACCACGTTATATAACGTATAATTCAAAATTTGTTCTATTTCTTTTTGCTTTGAAGGGAGAGAAAGGGAGACACGCGACTTTGGCGTCACTTGCGTTTTGGCTTCCGACTTAAGTACATCTCGTGATCAAATTGTCTGCATTCAGAATGAATTCTTCATTTCCTATGTGAGTATTTTGGTATTTGTCTTACTTCGGGAAACACAATAACATTATTGTCCGACTCTCCTATAAACAATTTAACAACAAATTGATAACAAAGTAGAGAATTGGATTAACAAAGGCCAGGTGTGGAAGGTGAAGGCGGACGCAGGGACCAAGCCAAAGCGATTTAATGACCTGCTCTCCGTTGGACCCTGAACAGACGAGACAGGTAGCGGCGATGTTTAAAATGCTATTTTGACCACCCGAAGGTTGGAAGAAGCCTCTATTGGAAAATAGACAGCCTAGCAGCAGCAGCGAGGTATAAATTGAGCGAGAGACTGGTCCCGCGTCCACCCCCGTACCTCGCCACCGAGCACTGAAAGTGCTGCGCCATCCACACCGAAATAAAGTAGAAAGTGTTATGTCATGTTATGTTTTGGTAGAATTGATAATGTAAAATGATGGAGGGAAAAACACAGGAGGACTCCACCAAGTTTGCCAATGAAAGTACCAGATAAATGAATTTATGATGAACTTATGCTGCAGCGAATGTCATCACAGAAAATGTGCAACCTGACGGGAGTCAAGTGTACCCCATCACTGATGTAGTGATCTACACCTGGGTAGATAAAGTCGTGGTGCATGACTTCACCGTCGATTGTCCTCATGAGATTGGCAACACGCCTATTCAGCTTCTTACGGCCAAGTTCAACACACTTAATTTCTCTTAGCGTATCGCCAGCAACACCGCGGCAACATATTGGACCACAGGAGCCTGGTGTGGGGAAGCCGCAACCGAGTGTAGAGTAGCTGCTCTTTGATCTGCTCAAAGAGCTCCCGGCCTGTGGTGACTCCGAGGTCATTTGAGCCCAGGTGTAATACTAGGATCCGGTGTTGACTGGCTGAGTTGGCGATCAGATCATCTATTGCCGGCCTGTCATGGCGCCATGTCCAGCCCCCCTTGACACGCCACTCCACCGGGGCCACGCTGCTGAGGGTGTCCGCCAGCGCAGGTCTCGCTCGGGCTAGGTAGCTGTCACCAACTACCCACACACCTACAACGATTACGCAAATTGTCATTATAATTATTGAAGCAGTTTACATTCTTATATATTGGAGATAACAATCAGATGACCATCGACCAGATCTCTTAATGGTCTCTGCATCAACACTGTTCATAGCTGCCGTAGTAGCAGCCCTGATTCTGAAAGAGTGAGAAGTGAATTTAAGATGTCCCACGTCAAGATGACTGATGGCTTTCTGCAGCACTGCCTGAAACTGAAATCTAGTTAGTTGTTTGCCATCAAAGTGAAGGAAAAGATAAGGGGAAGCAGTCGGTCGCGATTTTAAATATGTTACAATGGCAGCGACGGGACATAGCGGAGAATATGGAATAGCTTTGGTGTGGATAGAAGTACCTTTACCTGTTTGATCAGTCTTAGAATATTGAGGTGTGACATGCATGGCCGCTGCGTTACCTGTAATCTTTACATCATGAATAGTGAGAGACCTATGCGACGTGTCAGAAAGGGAGGTAGGTACCAACTCACTTATCCTGAAGAAACCGAAAAGGCCAGTGTATATGCTGCTTTAAAAAGATTGCATTCGTAAACAGAAGAACAAACAATATGAAGAACGTTGGAAATTGATAATAATATTTCTGCTGTGATCGGGCGTCGACTCTCTTTGGCCCTAGCTGCTTTGCTGAATCCTAAGAGCGTCTTCCGCACCAGGAAATGTTGGGATGCATCCTGCATGTCGTGCCACTTGTGCCAGGTTCCCAGTGCTGAGATATAGGCGTTGGCCGTTCTAGACGATTTACCCTGCAATGACAATGCTGACAAGTAATACATAATATGATCAAGTGGTGCCGGCCATGTAGATGGGAGACAATGTGACACTCTGAACTCGTTGAAAGACTGTAACGCTGTATGATAGGTCTTCCAAGTGTTTCTGGATAGTGACAGGTCCAGTAAACGGTCCGACTCCAGTCTTAGATGTCCCAGATGTCTGGTGGTAGTGGTGTTTTATTTTACTACATTTTGCATCTAGAAATTGCTTTTAATGTGCTGTATACTCGTATACATTTTTCGCTTTGATTTGTCGATAGTCTTGATTGCTTAGGCGTTTTATTCAAAGGTTTCTTGTAAGATACCACGTTATATAACATATAATTCAAAATTTGTTCTATTTCTTTTTGCTTTGAAGGGAGAGAAAGGGAGACACACTGACTCCCTACTCCACTCCGAAGTCGCCCTCCTGGATGGAGGGTGTAGAGGAGAGTGCGCCAAAAAGGGCGAGAAAACGTCTCTCTTTTGGGGAGAGACCCCGACAACGTAAGTCCACATGTTACTACATTTACAAATAGAAATCGGTTTTAATGCACGGTATACACATTTAAACCAACTCATAGAAAGCATTCACTTGATTTAATGGTAGTCTTTTTTTCTGTTCTGCGCGATACCATGCATACGGTCTCTGATAATTCTAAATTTGTTCTGTTACTTCTACTCTGAAGGGAGAGAAAGGGAGACACCACGTGTTTGCTAGCACCGACTCCGACGTCACCGAACTCGCCCTCCTGGGTGGAAACACCAAATCCGAGGCAAGTGAGTATCATTCATTCAGTCATTTCACTCATTCATTTCATTCATTCAATTTTATAGACGCGACAATTAACCAGTAATCCTAACTTTGTTTTATTCTAATTCCAATTCCTTTTTTTTAATCCTTTCAGGAGATCATACTTCTCGTGGCAGCCTCAAGGCAGATCATCAGGGAAATAGAGGAACAGTTAGAATTTATTTTAGAAAATGATTACTATTTTGGCTGATTGGGAAAGTAAAAAATTTAAAATTTAGAACTCCTCGTGACAGCCTCAAGGCAGATCATCAGGGAAATAGAGGAACAGTTAGAATTTATTTTAGAAAATGATTACTATTTTGGCTGATTGGGAAAGTAAAAAATTTAAAATTTAGAACTCCTCGTGACAGCCTCAAGGCAGATCATCAGGGAAATAGAGGAACAGTTAGAATTTATTTTAGAAAATGATTACTATTTTGGCTGATTGGGAAAGTAAAAAATTTAAAATTTAGAACTCCTCGTGACAACCTCAAGGCAGATCATCAGGGAAATAGAGGAACAGTTAGAATTTATTTTAGAAAATGATTACTATTTTGGCTGATTGGGAAAGTAAAAAATTTAAAATTTAGAACTCCCCGTGACAGCCTCAAGGCAGATCATCAGGGAAATAGAGGAACAGTTAGAATTTATTTTAGAAAATGATTACTATTTTGGCTGTTTTGGAATTTTTTAAATTATATCAAAAATTAAAACAAAAACTAAAACAAAAATTCTATGAAATTTGGGTCTTTTGGAATAATTTGTGGGGGGGTTCTTTTATGATATATGTCGACCGAGTTCCAAAATCTCGGCCTCATTATTATAAGAGTTTCACCCGACTAAATGAACGACAGAACTCGGAGGAAAACGAGGATTTCTCGATATCTGAACGCTCTTGGAATTTACAGTGGATTTATTGTGCTTTAGGATTTGTTTATTCGTTGGAACGTCATCGACATACTGTGAGTATTGTGTGTTTTTTATTGTTATGGTCAATAGCGCTGTCACAAATCACGGTCCTTGCGAGAGAGATGAATGACTTTTCCTTTGTTCCCCGTATCGCGGGCCGCTCTCGCGGAAACGTTCAACGAGGCTTGTTTAGGGCTGGCGGTCGTTTATTTTATCAGCCCTAACACAGCATTCTTATACCAATGGAATGTAAACGGACTCAAATGGCATATGAATGAACTGGCTTGTAAACAAGGGCTTGTTACTACACCGTTTTCGTCTTTGTTTTTGTCTTGTATTCTTTCAAACCGTCAGTTCATTACGATCAGTTTCATGTACTATATAAAAAGGAAGTTGAAATCAATCAATAAATAAATAAAAAATGAAATTATGTAATTCGGTTCTCACCTCAGTTGAAATTGAATTTGTGGGACCGTCACACAGTTTTCAAACGAAGACTCGAAGGAAATGACGCTGACGTAGGAACGTTTCATTTATAGTTAGTTAGTTAGTTATAGGCTCCTTTTGATTGGCTAAATTATGATTGAAAACCAATCACCACTCATCTTCAAACCATTGTATAGTGAGGGAACGCTATTGGAAACAAAGAGCGGATTCGACTTTGACCATTTTTGGCATCGCGTCTTTCGTGACGTCATCGAGTTGATTGCCTCTCATTGGCCGCTTCTTCGACTTGGACTGTTTTTGGCATCACATGTTTCGTGACGTCATCGACTCTTTGTGTCCTGACGCTTAGGATAGGCCATGCCCCCCGACCATTTTGATCGAAAATTTGATCAAACAGAGCTATATACAACAATCATTTTTGTCTTTCACAGCAGAAACATGTGCATTCACCGCTGTCTTGTGGGACATGGATAGAACAGCCTCATGATGACTATTGCTGTCACGGTGGTCTTTCAAAGCCGATTCTTGTGAATTAATGCACCCACGAGTAAATCCATTCAATTTACAAGCTGCTTAACATATTTTGGAAAGTCTCCCTTTCTGATCGTTTTTGGTACGTACCCAGCGAAATTTGTGAAACCAGTAATCATTAAACGGCTTCACTCTCTTCCTATCACTGTGACAGGTTGAATCTTGTTTGCCATCATTGTTATTACTACTGTCACCAGTTGCTTCCTCCTTTTGTTAGCCTTATGATGAGAGTGTTGTATGCTTTTGAGTTGGCATTTGACATGTGCTTTGAAAGCCAGTCGTAACCACTGGTATCTTTCTGCCAGACAGAGAGGACACTAGTTGTTGCAAATCGCTTTCTCAGCCAATCAGAATTATGGAACATCGGCATGTCAAGGTTTCTTTGGTGACATCTATATATAGATCAGCGGGATTTCCATTATCATGTTTTTCCGTGGTGAAAAGACAACAAACGAGACCAAAAAGTCAGATGATTTTATGTCTCAGCGCGTTTTTAATGTATGATTACCACCACTAGTCTAATAGCCAACTAACTGTGTATGATTTTTACTGCTACACTGAACCGACAGCGTTTGAAATGGCATATGTTTAATAATTTTCTAACATATTGGCAGCATTTTTACTTTCATATTCGCAATGGAATATGGAAATATATAAATGACAATTTTCAGTGTTTGCCAACAAAAACATACACTAAATCATATTCTGTGCATAGATCGCCTTAGGTCTTAGAGTTAACCGGGAGCATGGCTGTAGTAAATAGAGTTTTACAAAATTGTGGACTCTTATCCCAGTTCCGGTCGCTACATACGTAGATCCCAACTCTCGTTCACTGATAGCCATCTACATATAAGTAAGTACTTCTGTAGATGGCTTATATATATATATATATATATATATATATATATATGTAATAAGTACAATTTCATTCAGGGTTAAGATATAAACATGTCATATCACATTACATGACACAACATTACATCACATCAATAAGCATATGTTTACAGGTACATTACTATCTGTAACAGTGCATACAGCATTTGTTCATATCATCATCATCATCATCATCATCATCATCATCAAGGCTATAGTACGAATATACAACAATAAGCAAACACATCACTAATGTATAAATAATGACAATAGATTATAACATGATGCCTACCCTGTGGGTGACACTGGAGTTGTTTTTGGCTGTCAACCCTTTGGAATATTTGTTACATGATTGTAATACTTGAGGTTATCGGCAGTGAACCCTATGCACACTTGTTACAGGATTGTTCAGACACAGCAATTAACTTATACAATACAAGGAAATTCTTACGTCACTGGGTGATTTATACAAATATGCATAATCTAAGCACACTTATAATATAAAGGTACAGTGGAAACCTGATAAGTAAAATTTCAAGGGACTCGCCAAAATTGTTTACTTATCAGGTATTTTACTTATCCAAACTTATAAAAACCTGCAAATGACAACCATATATATGTATATGTACACATATGGAACAATGAACAACTTATCAGGGCTGGCTTCCAGTTGTCAGTGTATTGTCAAGTGCTTGACGCCAGCGAGCTGTAAGTAGGATGTTTGTTTGACTGGAGACTGACACGACTGCCCCTCATGTCGGATTATGTGGTGGTCGCTAATTTAGTTATCCAGTCTCTTTTGTTAAGTAATTTACTTCCAGGGACCGTGCGAGACGTTTAGTTAAGCGGTATTGTTTACTTATCCGAGTTTAGTTAACCAGACTCTAATAGTGATAATTAATGAAGAAATTTGCCGGGACCAAAGAAAAGTGTTTACTTATCAGGTCTGTTTAGTTAAGCGGTCTTTACTTAGGCTGTTTCCACTGTATGTATAAAATCACCACTCATATAAACATTTTTGCTTATGAGTATTCATACCTTTGCTAATTACACTATCATACATACTGCACTGAAAATAATTGCTTGTTATATTTATTTATGTTATTTATCCATTAATAAAAGTACATTGTAATACTGTACTATAGTTACTAACCCTAGAAGTAGATTATTGATTATTTTGATTTGCTGTGCACATCAGGTGAGGGTGACAGGTGCTGTGTAAGTAAAAATGACTGATGACCTTGTGATTAGAAATTAGCCAATCCCAATCATCCAGGTGATGATATCAAATTACATAACTGACAGAAAGATGGAATCACCTAATTTCCCTATGACCTTGTAATGGAATGATCCAAAACAATCAGAGACCTGCATTAAGCCTTTAAGATACTACTTGCCGACAACTGCTCATTATGAACACAATGAACCTCTGTTGAATGCTTTTATTATGCAATTTTGATATGTAATTACATTGATCAAAGATAGATGTAATCATGTTCACATCAAGACATGTCTGGATTATTTGTTTTAAACATATTTTTATTTCGTCAATGCAGAAATCTGGATAGGCGAACAAGCCTAGTGGCTTATATAAACGCCGCTCCAGTACACGGTTCCAATATAGCTGGATACATATTTGAAATAGACGGACAAGAAAAGAATTATATTGAGACAAGATTACACTCAGAAAAATGATTGAATAATAAATATGCGGTTATGGTGTTGGTTGTGCCTAGCAACGAAAAGAGCTGCCGCAGAAAATCAAGTTATATAAATCTTTTCTTGCATTGAATATACATGTATATGTAGAGATGATAATCACTGGAAGCGCTTACTTTTAGAAATAAACTGGTGTAATGAGTTGAGAATGTCACAATTTGTTGAGTTATCCAATGCGTCGTTACCGTATAAGGTAGTTTTCACATCGTATCCTTGAATATAAAAATACACCGTTGTTCATGTCTGGATTATTTCAATGCAGTGTTTTTAAACTATGGGTATGCTGACAACAATATTTGGGTTAAATAGAATAATAATCATAATATATATTCATTGCTTTTAACCAATTTTACACAATGGTGTACACCGGTTTGCAAGACATGTATTTGTTTTTTATTCTGTTTTGTCAAAATAATGAACTATTCATAGCCTGTAAATATGTAACGTCAGTAAAAGTTTGGATATTAAACAGCTGAATGCAATTCATTGTGAGACTATAGGGAGGATAATTATACATCCCGTCATTGGCATTTTCCATACTGAATATTGAAAATTACTTCGCTAAGTTGTATATAGTGTGTTGTGTGTGTTATGTGTTTACAGTATCAGGATGGTTATCATGCAATGTGTCATGCCATCATGTCGTGTATGGTCTCTACTCCAGATGTTATAAGAGTGTGACAATGTTTTTTATGTTTTCAGTAAACACCATAAGATCCACAGATTAATGATGGAAATTGAAATCATCAGAATCCCTCCCTTGTCACTGAAACACATGGAATTTGTTGAAGGGGTTTGCTGAAAACAGGATATCTCAAGAAACATTTTTTATTGACACCTTGGAAATAGGTGATCTCAAGAAAGAACCTGTTAATGGAACCCTGGCATATAGTGGCAACAGATGGTTTGGAGTGATCCAACAAAGCAGTCTCATATAGATGTTGTGATAGCTCGGGAACATTTTCTAAATCGAGTGTGGGGCAACAGGGTAGCCTA